TTTGACAGTTGGTCCAAGTACGACACGGCACAGTGAGGGTTGGATTATCGGTGCTACCGCGAATCACCCCCTGCTTACTGACTGTCCAACGGAGTGAGGAAACACGGAGCAAGTTTTGTCTCTACCTTGGATTCAAACCACTGCAAGCGATTGTGGCTGCACTATCCACCTCGAATTCAGGATAGCGATAGCCCACAGTGGCATCTGTCGGAGAGGATCTTGGATCAAGCGAAATAAACCGGCACAAAAAAACACCGAAAAAACGATCATGCTGTCGACTTGGTGGCACTACGGCGGTGCTGTTTGCTTCGAGCTGCTTCTAAGGAACCAATTCAAAGGTTTACCGCCAAAAAAAAATAAAGCGGAAGGATCAAAGACGTGCGGCAAGAAACGGTGTCCCGCGAATGCGTTAATCCACGGAAATTTACAATGCCCCGTCAACAGTAAAACACTTTTGTGGACAAAGTGCAAGGCAGGCAATTGGTTTTTCACAGACTGCAACCGCTTCCACGTAAGCCCATGCGATAGGCCAATTGAATTCGGTGACGCGGCTGCACTCCGTTGACGGGACTTCAAAGACCGGATATTCCAGCACCAAGCCACGGCATCAACAGGACGCCACGTTTAACTAAACGACAGTCTTAGGGGGGTCACTGTCAGACCACAGGCTTGGGGTCTCACTCAAGACACGGCCGCTGCAGGCGGCAAGAGGCGCTAATTTGTGGCCGTGTCCAATTAGCGCCTGGACAAACTGTTTGGCCGCGCTGTGATTTAATGCCACTGGCCATGAAGATGTTTACGAATTGGATACAGAGGTGGTTGCGTTTGCCTAAAAAAGTGCATCGCACAAACAACGGTAAGTCAAGTTTGTTCGTCTTTAGCGCCTCCAAATTCGTCAAGATGAGGCACGTTGATGTCACGGAAGACGTTTATAAGCAGAGAAATGCCTTGGAGCAGCGGTTTTTTCACCGAACGGGTGATTATGTTAACGTGAACACAGATCGCCGCTACTTGAAGGCACGAAACAGTTTTCTGGTAAGCATTTCTACTTTCACATGCACCGAAAAAGTCGTGCATATTAGTTATTACCAACCAGACAAAGGGCAATCCTTAGGCCCCGGCGTTAGCGAACGCACACAGCATTCCCTCCTTGGAGCCAAAACCCCTGCAAGGACCGTGACTTCACGTGGAATGAGTGACGCGTGTGTGCGCTGATCAGACACCGGTCGCTCCACCAACTCACACACGGCATCAACCTCGGGAGGACATTTTCCAGTTCGAGTCAGCTTCACGCAGTGAACAGGCCACTGCCTTAGGTAGACCAGCTAGATATCTCGTGATTACTGGCTTCAACAGCCAAACCTCCGTTAGTTCCTGCACAAAACGAGTTTTTGTGATTACCTGAGATACCGGAAATTGATTTTAACCTTAATTAACCGCCTGAGGTCATTAAGATCTGTGTAGATGGAGCGATAGGTTCGAAAAATATGCACTAAAGCTAGCATTACCTAACCGGAGCTGTGCAAAATCACTTTACACGAATTTCGACCCGCGTTGCGTATTCGACACGTCGTTGTATAAACATGCCTACTGTGTAATATAAAGTAGCATCAATTTTAAGAAAAACGATGCCACTAAACAAGGGTAAAATGGAACAAATCAATCGGTAAAAGTAGAAATGTTGAGTAAGAATCCAGGCCCTATCATATAAAAGTCATGTGGGCTGTTTGTACGCTACCCACCTAACAATGCTAGGATGCGATTGATGGATCCTCACACCGGATAAAATCGAGTTTTTAGGGATCTCAGTTGTGCACCGTATTAGCCCCAATCCCAAGTAACACGGCTCTTCAAGAACTCACATGGGCATCTCGGGAAAGCGCAAAAGACTCCCAGTATTCATCGAGAGGCGGGACAAGTCTCCAGCTATTCGTCCAAGAACCACGTTGTCTACGGTCCTGTCTCCCGTCTTTCCCGAGCGCAATCGGTATCGCAAACGTGGGGGTGTTTTCTGCGGAACAGCATCACCATCATCAACAGCCTGCGTCCTTTTGCAGGGAGTCGCCTGCGCCGACCCCGCCGCCTCCTCCTCCTCCCCCTCCTGTGGCGGTGCGAAGGGCGTGGGGGGCAACTTCAGTGGGATAACCCTGACCCCCTGTCTGGTGACCGTTCGCGAGGGTGACGAAGTCGCGGTGGAAGGGATCTCGTCGTTCCACAGTCGACGGCGTTTGCTCGGGGTGGCGCGACTCATCACAGGGGAGACAGACGTGGGCATTCGACAGGCGGCCACGCGCCTCGGCGTCTTGAACTCGGCGTCTTTGCTCGAGTAGTCGTCAATCACCGACGCGAGCAGCGCTGAAGCTGGCGACGCGGCGGTCGCGACTGGAAGGCAAACATGGAGGTCGAGAGTAGCAATACTTAGAAGGGACTGCTTTGGAGGTGAGTTCTGAGTTGACTTGGGACAAGGAAGGACTACGGGTTGAGACTTTGACTTTCTTCCATACCTTAATTCTTGCAGCAGAATAAATAATGCAAAAGACGACACAACAACCAATGACTGTTGATTGGGGTGAAGTAAAGCAATTGCCTTGGTACAATCAAATTACCGATTAGGACACCAAATGTGAGGGTATCGAATGGCAAATTAATCGATCCTGTTTCCAATTGAGCTCCCAGCGCATATTGAAGGCCTTCTTAGTGAAAAGACGTGCAATCCAATCGACTAAATTTACTTATGCAGCTGCTGTAATGCACGCGATCGCCCACCTCAGTAAAATCACAACGATCAGGTGTTATGCTTGTTGACATGAATGACCAATTTTCATCCAAGGGTTCATTTGAGGGGTGTTGCACACATGTCCAGGGTTAGGGGCAGCAAAGTGGGCAAATTTTCAAGCTACCTGAAGAATTGTACCTGGGTAGGCAGTAAGCAGAACGGGAACCTGATTTTATCGACGAAAAGTCATCGAAAAATTAAGCAAGCGAAGACGGGCTGAACGGACACCGCACAACGTAAGTTGGCCGGGTATTGCTCGTGCACACATTACACTATATTGTAGGAATTTACCTCGACAACACCGATTACACTGGATTTTGATGAGTGTCGGCGAGCACGGTAAGGCAAAATTATTGGATCAAGATGGACAATGCGTAGAAAGAGAAGCCCATTTGAAACATGAAGCCTTTCTTAATTCGCTTGAAATGATCAGAAAACGCATTATCGAGACGAGTTGGAAAAAAATGGATATCGACCTGCTAGACTAGCGCTACCTTTTTATAGCTAGACACCGCAGCACTGAAAAGTGAGTACCTCTAATTAACTTTTACGATCCAACCCTCGAATAAGAGAAACCAAAAAATATCAACAAGTATTAGAAAAGGATTCCGCAGAGCTGTTGTCCAAGAAGAAGGGGATCAGATTACAGCCATATTTATGTTCTGCTGGCATCATTTCAATTTAACTCCAAATCCTGAGTAAATGGAAATGCTACTCCCGTCAACCACTTGTAGTCTCGGCATGAGGCTAATGACGTTTCCGACAAAGTGACGCATTAGAGAGGCTTAGAGTAAGAAATTTAACAATTCTAGACGAAATTATAAGGAAAGAAATAGCCCATCTCCCCCAAAAGTCAATTTCGGAAACTTATTATTCAAAATTACGAAAATGTTGTCACTGACATTAAGACGAGTGCTGTACTTGACTCTAGGCATCCGCATTATGTCAATTTTCAGAAACCAGTGAAGGTTCATCACTGCACTTGTACTTCGGTTTATGAATAGAGGCATTCTTTTGAAGCACCAGCGCACACGAACGAATCAAATCGCCGACCGTTTCAAAAATTGTTTAATTATGCGGATGATTCCTGCACTGTTGAACCAGATATTAAAAGACCTAAAAAGGAGTGGCTAATTGTACCTGATGGCCATCCGAACTATTTAAATTATAATGCTTACAATTACACACCCGGTATTTTCCAAAAAATGAACTTTTTGACTTCCTTTGCATGAGGAATGTAGTTTAAAGCGCTACCTGTGTATGCCATAATCTAGATTATTTGTTAGACACCAGAGATGACCTGGTTGATAGCCGATGGAAACTAATTGTTATGTGAGCAGTAAATACTTCGCCAATAGAAGATTTTCTGATTCACATTATTACACATTAGTCATCACAAAAAATATCCTTTACTAGATTGCAGCCACTTCGATTCTTGATGTACAAGAACGATTCTTTAGACCCCTGGGATTCGGACACTACTCCACATTCCTGCCAAAAAAACACCAGTACAATGCAAGAATGACTACTTACAACCAAAAGAATCAAAGATAATTCAAATTGCATTTGTTGAAATTGGCAAATAAAGGCCGAAGTAAAAAATAACGGAACATTCAAGTCTGAAGCAGTAGGACGAGCGACTAAAGGCAAACTAAATTAACACTGATGAAGTGGTCGTGTCTACTGCTCTAGTAGCCAGACAACATTTTGTCAACCAGTTGAGATTAGAGCAGTTCGTGTTTTCAAATGACACGAGACAGGGCGTCTCTATCCGCCAAAGCCACAATTAATTTTTGCAGTAACTGGAAACTAAATACCTTACTGTCACTTCACTATAGCAAAAAGACAATAAACCATTCGATTGAGTGTAAAGTCTGTGCAAAGACAAGGCATTAAGTACGCAAGAGCAGAATGGCATTGAAAACGGAAATGTCCTATTTACCTTCCATATGTTCTGTCTGATTAGCTTGAGAAGATAAGAAGACTTCTTTAACTTGAGCCAGTTCATTTGCGACTAACTGATAGTCGGCCTCCCTGAAAGCCAACTGACTGTTAAGTGCAGAGACGGTTTTTCGGTTCTCCTCCCTCTCCGCGGCTAACTGCGCCTCCAATTTACGAATCAATTCCAGCCGAGAACTTGTGCTCCGACTTGAAGCTTCTTTAAGACTGGATAGCTCACCAACTTTCATATACAGTTCCTCCCGAAGCAGAGTGATCTGCAATTTTAAAAATTGGTCAAAACCAAAAACGGAAAATTTGTCGAAGTAATGTAATAATGTAACAAACCTCACGTTTCAGCTTCTCAACCTCACTATTGTCTGCTGTAGCAGAGCTTCTAAAATAAAATAAATATACGACCTCAGTAGGAAGATGTAGCTAGAAGAAATCGATTAAAAAACTTACGGTTTTGCCCGTAGAACAGAATGGACAGCTGAGCACCTGGGATCAGCCGAACTTGTTCTAGGGAGACGAAAGCCCCCAAGAGCTGGCTTTGGTGTTTGTGAATCTATTAGAGTGTAAATGGTCTAGTTTGAGGAAAATACCTTTCAAGTTATCTGAAAAGCTGTGACGGCGAACTAGCAAAATCAAAAATAAAAAATTCGAAAAAACCCTTTGCATTGATTTCCGCTGAGTACTGTGTGCAAACTAAGTCAAACTGGTCCAAAATTTCTTGTGATAACTCTTCGTCATCCATGTGAACTTAATGAATTTCATACAAACATAATTCAAACACGAAACAAAAAACCGTGTACGACACACGCCCAATTATATTCGACCTCAGCAAAGACCAATGAATATTAAACCTTTCAGAATTAGGGTTATTTAAGGCCCAAAATTACCTTGCTTTGTATCACGTATCCTAACAAAGTTTGACAATAAATTTACGTGCAAGTAGTAACATGCATTTAATTATTTTCAAATTGTGGATTTGACTGTTGCTTACTGCACAGAAAAATCGTACAAGTCGTTAAAAACGTTTTCTTGGTTTATGTATTTTCCGTGGGTCTAGAATTTGAGAAAGAAAATTACAACCTAACCCAACGTTTCTAAACTACTTAACAATTGTTGTTTTAAAAACATCCCTGAAATTAAATTTGTCGACATTTTAATGTTCAACCTTGTGGCGTTAACAAATAAAATCAGATATCGCAATGTAAAAGGGGACTTTGTACCATTTTTAAAGGTAAGTGGTTTCTTATATGTCATGCGTTTTTTACAATATACTTGTATCGGGATATGCATCCCTTCTTAGTGGCAATAATAAGTGTGCCGTTTTCTTCAATGGAACAGATAGATCTTTTTGACGTTCAAACCCAAATTGCAATTGAGGTTTTGTCCTAAAGGGTTGCTGGGTTAACAACACTATTTAACATCTTCGGAAGTTTCAAGTAGAAATTGTGGGGCAATTTTTGTATTAACATACTAGGCTTTACAAAAAAAAGTTGATTCTGCATGATTTTGTACACTTTTTTGTTATGTTTATTTTGCTAAAATGAATATTTTAAATTAAAATTTTGCAAAATTATCCCTTTGTCCTTGGAACTTCTCACCTTGGTTGACGTTCGAATTTTTTGTGCTGTGTGGAGATATGTCGCTTAGAGAACGTGATTTGTTATATCGACTAATTATTAGGTTTGACAGCAACTTGGACTAAATTGTTCATGATTTTAGCCAACTCTTTCACGATGGCTATCAGACAATGGCAATTAACCTGATGAATTTGGTGAATCCATCCATGTCGTGTGGACCTTCGGCACGTCTTCTTAAATTAGTGAAACTTGGATTGTCCATTGCTGATGGTATTTCTCAACTGTTTTATGCTTTTATAAGCGATGCTCAACTCATCGGCCGCTATTTAACACCTTGGTTACTGATAAATATCCATTTGTGTGTCACTGTCTTCTACGGGTGATCTGTTTAGGTTTCGCTAATGAAATGTTAGTCCTGTAGTCAAACTGTTTTTATTAATACAGTCTTCGCGTTAATGCCGTTGCTTTAATTTTACTTGGCGTTGTTTCTTAAGGCTTATGTTTTCAGTGGATTTTGATTTCAGATTCTGTCAACCACTAAGACTGAAAACTGTTTGCTGTTGGTTTGGTATTATTGACCAATCTCTTGTGTGGCTTGCAATCTAGGATATGGTATTCAATGCTTTCAGCCACATTTTTTTCTTTTTTTAATGCAAACTTAACTATTTCCCTTATTTAATTCGTTCTATGTCCATATGGCTCCCAATTCTGTCATCACAATTCTAATACTGAGAGAACGAATACCAAAATGTCAAACCGGAGCCCCAGATCTTTTTCAAATTTGGTGTTCTAGATGAACAGGATCGACCTGTTACACTTGAAGGCGACAATATCGCACCGGGAACTGGCATTGATCTCGAAATCGAGAGCGAAAGTAAGGCGACTTATGTTTCCTCTGATTTTTTATTTTTTTTGTGTATTTGTAACTATAAATGTACTACCAATCTAGGCTCAACAATGGCTCCTGAGGCTGCCCTGTACGAAACCTGTTACGTAACTGCACACAAGGCTGCGTGTCGAACAGCTGCTTTTAATACTACAGGTAATGAATTCCTTCTCAACTTGAATGGATTCTTTTCGATCACTTTACCTAAGACCTCTTTTTATACATTAGGCCAACTTGTTGCTACTGGATCTCACGATTCATCGATCAAGGCAAGCATCTGTCCTTCCCATGATTACATGTATTTCAAGTTTTCCTCGATTAATAATGTGTATCTAATGAGGTATTAACGAAAAGTCAAAGCTAAACTTCAAGCGTGGGATTCTGTTATTTACTCATAAGCTTGTTGTTGTGGTATTCCCCCTTCTCCCGGTTGTCATCAGATTTTTCACTTCTAGATGCCCTATTAAGCCATAACGGATTACGAATTGTAGTAGAACCTTTTGAATGCGTTGGAGTCAGTCAAAAATACATCGGTTTGTGTAATCTCAATCTTTGATTATCGCTGTCTAACATAGCTAACCGTTTAACAGATTTTAGACGTTGAGCGAATGCTTGCCAAGAGTGTCTCCGGTGCAGATCACACGAACCAGGAAACGCCACAGCAGCAGATGGAAGCTCATCCTGTTATCCGCACGCTCTACGATCACACCGCGGTATGTCTTCGACTTGTTGCAGTTAAAAAATTATTATATCATTAGTTTAAATTGGTTCTATAGCGATTTTGCAACCGTCACTCTTTGAGTGTCCTTTTGATAGTGGACTTCCCTAAATTGTCTTACCTTGGCGAAATCAGCCAAAACTTTACTGATCAACTAATGATTTATAAATATGCAGAAAAACGCATCTTTATTCCGTAGATAAGCTTATGTGCCGACACCTGTGCACATTCTCCTCACTCTGATCCGAATGGCATTGATTAGTAAGGCGTTGAATTTGTTTCTTGTGCGTATTTTGTGCTTCCTGCGTCAAATTTTGTCTGTTCTGCTGATCTTCTTGGGCAAGTAGCTGGCCATTAGACACTCCTACTTTCGCTAGATTTCTCCCTGAATCTCATTTGTTCTTGGCGTTGCCATATTTGTAGGGTGGTTAATACTAACGCGCAAATTCGTAAATCGTGGTCATTCGACTTGTTTTTATGCAGATACGCATGCCTTTTTATGCGGTTTATCCCGTAAAAATCGTAGAAGGAGGACTTACCAGTTGTCCGAGCGCTCCAAGTCTCTTAGTGAAATGCTTTTTTGACAGATGCCTAGCGTTAAAGCCGACAGTTCGGCTATAACGTCAAAATCGTTGGTCTTTTAATCCATCTGGATTTTCCTCTGCTTTTGGTTCAAGTCCGCTTGGCACTGGCGAATTGGACCGTCCTTTCTCTAATTGCGTCAAAGCTGAAATCCTTCTCTCACGTTTAGTTTTGCTTTACATCCTAGCGTATTCGCTAAACGATTATTTTGTTTCACAGAAAAAGACATTGTTCGCATGCTCTGATCTCCTTGAAAATCATTTCACCCCAAAAAACTCATCTTCAATTTGCAGGAAGTGACCTGCGTCGATTTTCATCCAGATGCGTCACAGCAAATTCTTGTCAGCGGAAGCAAGGACTACACAATCAAGTTCTTTGACTTCTCGAATCCCTCAGTTAAGAAGGCCCAGCGAAGCATTCCTGAGGCGTCGCCAATCAAAACCCTCAATTTTCACCCCTCCGGGAATTACCTGCTCGTTGGCACCCAGCACAAAACGTGTGCGTTGCAGTGTGCTCACCCCCTCGTCTTCATTCAGTCCCCTATTGCTTGGCACAAACATGACTACTCGTAGTTGCTAGTAGTAATAATTTAAACTTTAAACAAAACAAGGACTATTATCCTCCCAGTGCGTCGTACAATCAACCTGTGACACCCAACACGTTATTTTGCTTTGTAGTGCGAATTTACAATGTGAACACGTGTCAGTGCTACGTGTCGGCTGTGCCCGAGGACCAGCACAACGGAGCCGTCACAATGGCCCGGTGGGCCCCGAATGCCAACTACTTTGTCACCTCCTCTGTGGACGGCAGCTTCAAGATTTGGGATGCCGTGTCGGGTCGATGTGTCTCCACGTTTGAGTCCGCGCACGACGGCGCACCCGTCTGCTCTGCCGTCTTCTCTCGCAATTCAAAGGCAGGTCTTTATCCACCTCGGAGTGTGAATTAGGGTTCTACTTAGTAAAGTATAAGTAGTACTGATTGCTTTCAAGCCCCATGAGTGCAATATGTTATTCCTTGTTTCAGTACGTGCTTACCTCCGGTAAGGATAGTGTGGTGAAGTTGTGGGAGCTGTCCACAAGTCGCTGCCTGATAAGTTACACCGGCGCGGGCACCGTTGGCTTGCAGACGCACCGATCTAACGCCGTATTCAACCACACTGAAGACTATGGTAAATACCCCCTTCCTATTCACTTTCTCTTATTGACTCCAGTTAATTAATCCAACACCTTCATCTAGCTGTGGTCGCAGGTCCAGAGCTTATTTAACGGGTATGAACTGCTAGCGTTGGTTGAATTACTTGGTCGTATCCAACGCCAGAACTGGACTAGCAGTATTGTGATGGTAGCTACAGTTTAGGCAGATTGTTGGTACTTTGTAGATGAGGTTCGCTAGCATCCAGCAATACCCAGGACGTTTAGCTTAATGTAACCCAGTCGAGACGCAAGCCATCAATTTGGGTGTGCCTTGTTTTCTGCCAGCGTTCGTCTTTAGTCTTATTGGTTTTTTGCCTCTAGTTCTGTTTCCCGACGAGGCGACGAAGAGCCTGTGTTGCTGGGATTCACGGAATGCAGATCGTCAGCGCCTACTGCCTCTTAGTAAGTAGAGTAGTACTTTGTAATACGCTTTCGCACGACCAAAGCCCACTCACCTCCACGCTTCCTCGCATGCTTTTCTGCCACGTGTTATTAGTTGTGAAGCGCAGCGTTACTCAGCCTCATCCACACGCCCGTCTCTCTCTCTCTCTCTTGCAGGCCACAACGGTCCAATCAGGTGTTTTGTGCATTCCCCAACGACAGCAGCCTTCCTCTCGTGCAGCGACGACAACCGCGCTCGATTCTGGTACAAGCGACCCATCTCCGACTAATCCCCCGCACCCCATCTCACCCCCATTGCAATACATGCGTACATCTGTTCGGTTAGTAAAATGTCCTCTCTGAAACAACGCCATTTCGGTAACCCGGGTGGAAGTAAAACTACTGAGCCCGCCCCCACTGCAACTCACGCTGAAGCTTAAACCCGTGGTTTATCGTGTAGTCTGTTTTCGAACGGCCGGCTATCCGTCAAGTCCTCAAAGTCTAGTCAAGTGGTCACTACTCACCGAATGAAATGCTTGCAGTACTTCTGTTAGCGTCACTTAGTCTACTACCGTCACAACGCTACTAACTCGAAGTAAATTAACCAACTTCACTCTGTGCCAAGTTATTAACGGGAGTTTGGGTGACAATAAGCAAGGAATCTTAGGAATGTCACACCGGAAAACGACTCAATCAAGACTGCCAAAAAATAGAGCAGATGTTTATTACATTTTCGTCGCAATAGGGTATAAGCTAAAATATGACCGTGAAAGACTTGTTATGCAAAGTCGTCAATTGATCTCCCCGGAGCCACAGGCCAGGGACATGAAAGCACGAATTCGTCGGGCGCGAGAGTATCCCTCGAATGCGTCGAGGAATTCGTTGTTGGAGCCTGGGTTGACGACAAAGTCGTCATCATCATCGTCGCCATCACTGGTCTCCGCGGCATCGTGGTCGTCGGAATCGTTCCCCGGGGAAGGAGGCCCAGCCGTCTCCGGGACGCGTTCGTAGAACAACATGTAGGCCTGCAACGCACACAAGAACACGCCCCATTACAGTCGGGGTGTTGTTAGGCGCCACGCCCAACAGTGTCTTATTGGCCAATGAAAACTAAACCCCGATAAAACATGAAATATTGCGTCGCGATGCACTCTAGGCTTGGGTTATAACCGGCTACCAGATATGGGATTCTGAGCATAAGGTTGTCCGTATTAGCGTATCCAATGGCAACAATGGGTCCTGTGCCTGGATATCTAATTCACTAAATTCGATTGCCTCTTCTCGCTGTTATTGGATAACAACTTAAAATAGCGACAATGACACTGCAACTATCAGGAATAGAATCGACAGTCTTTGTGGAACCAAGCTAGGATTTCATTTAAGCAACACACGCCACGTAATGCGAATTTCCTGTGTGTCAAATTGCATGTGTAGTGGCACGAGTAGGAAGGTTAACATATTGTTGAACACCGCTTTAGTAGCTCTCTAGTAGGAACATGTCTGAGCGTGATCAGTTTCCGTGACCGTAAAACCTTCAACCAGTCTCACACATGAATGAGGTTACACACACAACGACGCGCCAGCGGGTAGTAACAATGAGAGCCGAAGTCGCACTCCCTTATCCTGGTTTCGGCAGTGAATTCTGCCGTTTGGAAAGGACTCCAGGGTTAAAAAATCTCCAGAACGACTGGACAAGCATATTCCAGGGTAGAGTGAAGACATCCGCAGGGAAATTGAAGATGATAGAAAGGGGGGGCTGGCGAAGTGCACCTACCTGGCAGGCCTTGACACTAGAAAAAGGAACTCTTCCAACATAGCGGTCAGAGGTGAGAAGCCACTCAGCAGATTCATAAGCACCACCGTTGAACTCCCCCACACGGCTGCCTTTTCTCCAACACCGATAGGTGACGTAGTGGCCGGAGTTGAAGGAGTTGCCTTGGTGGACGATAACCGAACGTAGGACGTAGAAGCGAGGAGGTCTGGTTAAACAAAAAAAGGAAGTCTTGCGATAACCTCCGTGACATGGCTGCGTCTCACGTGATAAAACAGAGGTTTGTGTTAAAGCGACGCACAGTACAAACTACGCATTAGTTGCACACGTATATAACTGAGACTGATTTTGCTCCAGGGCTGTCGGTCACCAAGGCATTGCGTTAGAGGGAATGGATTGCTCTGAAAACACATTCCACAGACAGTTGGGGTGGTTTCGGTACGTGTTTAAACGAGCATTATGTGCGTATTAGTACATTAGATGCTATCGTAACGCAAATTTGCCAACACAGCTATAGCCACGCGGCTCGCAAGATGAGCCACTTTGTCGGAAACGCGATGTCATAGAAGGGTCAACGGATTTTATGCAAATTAGTAATACACGCACCGACACAAGGACACCCCTATTCACACCAAGTTAGGCAATGCATCGTAACTTCAAATAATGACGACATCTATTCACAGTTGTCCTGTATCAACTCGATAAGATCTGGGAAAGAATAGCACTCGCGAATTTTTGATCAGTGAATATAATAAAAACCACATTGAAAAGAACAATGAAAACAAGGGCTCGGACATACCTTCCTTTCTTGCTATGAGTATAGAGGTCAGCCTTCACAGTAGGTGCGTTAATTGAGTCGGTCTCAAGTTTCTTCAGCACAGCCTCAGACGCACGCCCACTGCAGAGGTACGGGGCGAGGTCGAGGAGCAACGGAAAGTCCACGTGGTCCTGGAACTTGGTGACGGCCCCGCCTGAACTGTAGCCGAACACGAACTCGTCCGAGTCGGGAGCCAGGTAGGCCTGGGGCGTCCAGACAGCCCGCTGGAGGTAGAGAACGAGGGGGCTGGTGGGAAGGTGGGCGATCCACCGGCGCACGTAGCACGTGTTCCGACAGTTGATCTCAGCCAGGTGCTTGATTGCACTCTTGTCCGCAACCAGAGGAGCGGGATCGTTAACCATGGCGGCTGGCACGGTGATGGCTTTCATGTGGCAGCGCGGGCAGTTAATGCCCATCAGGCGCTCCACCGACTGAAACTCGTCCTCCAGGAGGGCATTCAGGGTTGCATTGTAGGGCGCTTTGGACTTGCCGGATTTTTTCTTTTTGTGTAAATTTTTGGATTTCTCTTAAAAAAGAAACCACATTGCACGTACTTGCGTGAGTAAATCCAACCACTGGTCTGGAAGGGGATTTATGAAGTGAAAACACATGAGGTGCGTGTCCTAAACATCTCCACAGAAAAAAAAACAGGTAATGCACTACAAGGTGGCCCTTAATCCAATCAAAAAGGAATAAGACTCCAGTGCCTTGGCAGAAAATCTAGCCCAATGTTTGGGCAACGGTAACACACCTCGCTCTTCCTATCTAGTCTTGCATTGCGGACTTTGGTGGCCAAGCAATAACGTCCGTTGTGAAGAAAAAGGATACTCCAATTGCAATATTACTCGCGGGCTGTTCCCGTGGTGGATTAGAAAGTGACACGCCTGCCATCAGTGCCTCAAGAGCCACCGATACACATTTCACACAACACGTCAAAAATGTGCTTGTCGATGGTATTTCGATTAGTGAGGAAACCACTTGCAGTCAAATTGAGAACAAGGTGTGCGCGCAAAAAGACAGGTTTGTTGCAGAAGAAGAGCACAAGCCGGAATTGGTGCGAAATGAGGCTGCGGCATTGTCGAGGTGTCACGCGGACACACAGCAGTTCCGGACAAGTAACGGTTGTCAAGTAACGGGCCGGACAGGCCTGACAGCGTGAAGCCGTCTACCTTCAGAAAGTGTAACTCACAACTAAGTCTATGTGGGTATGTACTGAAAGTATTGTGACATGATAATTAATGCTTTCTGTGGGCAAGTGAGCCTAATTAAGAAAGAATATGAATACGAAATTTTCGTTTCGATTTCTCAGAGCTATTCAATTCGGTTGTACCGTTTTGCGGCTTGAGGGGAGGCTTCAGGGGTTCTTAAGAACACCCCTTGACATGATATTGCAATGCGTAATTTAACGATCAAGACAGGTGAGCCCGTACATCTATGTGACCTTGTAACGAATTAATATCGATTGGTCGAACTCGATATTATTATTATAGGCGCCATAGTCAAATGAGTCAGGGTTCCGCTTATAAAAGCCCTATTAAAACATTCATCACCAAATGTAGCAAAAATGAACGAAAAGCAGCGGCTGACCATCTGGGATTGGTTAAGGGGGGGGGGGAAGTGTGGAGAAACGGCTTACTAGGGAAGAGTATTAGACACGACTCTGGAACGAGTTTTATATCGCTGCGATAGGAGCAACGGGAACAGAATATCTGTGACGCGATGAGGTTGTGCTTGAAGCTCGGCACAACCTTAGGCACTTGGTAAGTGCCCAACGTGACCGCCTTAGTGCCGCCGTTAACCAAGTTGAGCGGCAGCAGAGGCATGGACTTTTTGTGGCATTGGTTGGTGGAGGCTGCGTCAGCGGTGCCATTGGCAAGAGGCGCAGGGGGTGCTGGGGATTTGCCAATGAGAAGACGCGAGACCGATCGAAGGCCCTCACTGGCCCGTACTGCGGATCGGCCGGCCTCATAGTTGTTGGCCAAGTCCATGAAGAAACCGAACAATTCGTGGGCGTCCTGTGGGAGGGGTAAAATCGCCATTTGACAATCAATCCCACCAAGGAAGTTGCACTCTTTCCGCCACTTAAGCCTACCAGCATGGCTGGAATCACGAGCTTTGTAAAGAATACGAGAGAAAACACGCTGACGACCCAAGCCTCCAGCAAATCAGAATCTAATTTTAAATCAATAATCTGTAAGAGGCGTGACTGCTAGAAAAAAAAACATTTTTTGGAAACTACTTAATCGAACATGGCTTCCCCAAATGACCGTTTTCAAAATACCGGTAGTTATGACCAAAGTGTACTTAATTCAAAGGTCACGCCTCGATCGATCAACAAAGTAGGCGTAGAAAGTCATGTTCATAAAGCCAGTTATCAATCAAACATTGGAACTTGGATGAATTGTTAACTACGAGGATTGGCTGAATAGTTCCCTAACTAGAATGACGTTAAGTCAGTGTGAATGATTAGTTCAATGGCTGTTTTGGTTAGAAACCAAGAGATAAAATTCCGAACACCAGTGACGACTCAAAACAACCCCTGAGAGCTGTTCGCGTTACGCGTATTTGCTTTGACTAAACATTGAAATGCAATCGATTTCTAGCTCACATAACACTGGCACATTAAAAACGCTACTTCTCTAGAACCCCACTAGCATTAAAGTGCCAACAGTTCTTGGTGATGAAGACAAGTGATTTTGCGATGACATGGCACATCAGTTGTTTTCACTGCCATACCCGAATATATTTAAACCTAATTAACTGTGCTTCACGGGGACAATCGATACACGCTAAGGCTCGATTAAACTTGAAAAAAATCTGCATAATAGGCTGGTTCGCGATACTGGAGGCGCATTTTGTGAAAAGCACGAGCGTGTGCTTAAGGATGCTAGCACGCGCCTCTAAAATGATGTGGCTAAGGTGCGGCAACGCACAGACACATGCCAACACACCCCACGCAACATGGTGCAATGGATGAAGAAACAGAATCACACATGCAGGCTCAAACTAGTTTTCTAATCAAGCGAACACGCACCACTGAAAGGCACGACAATAAATTGCAATTTCAGTGGTGACAGATTTACTCACTAAATGTGGTTGGAAAGTGATTTTACTCAACCGCAGGTTTACGTGCTGTTGATTGGATCAGATTACAGGTCTTTTTTTCAATACCCACAACTTCCCATAAATACACTGCTAGTCCAACATGCACACTTAACGAATTTACGTAAATTAAACAATTTGATGCAGACAGAAAGCCCTTGAGTGTAGCTATTTAAATGGTATGGAAAAAAATCACCACAATCATTAAAATATTAAGATGGCCAGACAAAATGAAGAAATGATGCATTCAGAACTATACAACTGATCCTTTTCGACCCTTTAAAAATGTAAAATTAAGACAGACTGGTTCTAATAATGTGTGAAAATAAATCAAGTTGGTAGCCTCTTAAAAAGCAAAGTACCCGAATAACTAAAAGTCGACAAAATGGTAGTAAATTTAGATCCCTGTGCTAAACCGAGGTGTGGATTTCACAAATCGTCATTTCGCTTAGAAATAGAAGGGGATTGTGTGACAACATAATAACATTTTTAATCCCAAGTACGTGAAAGCTTTAAATAGGAAACTGGGGAAAATTTGATGGAGGGGGCACAATCAAACCAAAATCTCAAAAACGAATATATCAACTGCCGTTATGTTAAAGCTAGATGAATTCATTGACGGTAAACGAACGAACGACCCAAATCAGCAATGTGGGTAACTGAATTTCAAAAAAATTAATAAATCTTAATAATCTGACACTGATTTGGTGAAGTCACATGAAAGGAAATCAAGGGTGAGCGGTATTCAAGTAAGCATACTCGAAAAAAATGAACTATATTCCACGATGCAAATATGAAACGATAAACTAACACAAGTAATCAAGTTGATATGTAACTGAATATTAGGACTTAGTCAACCTTAGGAGAAAATGTAACAGTACTATGATCAAGAACAAGCACACGAGGTATTTATTGATGACGTTTTGTGGATCAGATGTTTAGCTGTAAAACGTTTACTTCCCCCACTAAGAAATGCTGAATCCAGGGAATATAAACTACATTCCATGTTACACAAATTGCAAAGTTCCAACTAAAATGTGTTAGTGGTGTTATGTAATTATGAATTCCAGCTTAAAAGTTTAAGGTACCAACACAATTTACTCGACAAAGTAACATTACTATTAAAACACAGAATTGATTGAACCAACCTGTTGGTCATGCACAGCCCATTTTCCAGATAGTGATAACTCTTCAATTAGTATTTTATGGGCGTTTGTGAGGACTTCAACGAGCTGGTGGCGCTTAAGATAACCAGAGCAACAACTAAGACCTAAAAGTCGAAAAAAAGATACCAGGAAAGTACGCATGACCTATCTTCAGGACCAAAAGTTTAAGTGAAATCTGTAGCTAAGCGAGACTTGCAAAAAATTTCCTATGTCCACTCTGTACGACCCAAAAATTCCAAACATCTATTCACCGATGTTATCATTCACACATGCACAAAATCATAACCCACCTTCAAGAAGAGCAACTAGAGAGCATAAAAGTCGGTCACGTTTAACAGCCGCGCTTCGCCTAAGAGACTTGACAAGGCTGCGGTTGGAAGCCATGGCTTGAAGAAGTGCGTTTAAGTAGCAGAGATTGCGACTGTTAATGAGTCCTATGGGCAACTCATTGTCCGAGGCTATCGAAAAAGCAAACGACATTAGGTCGAATAAAAGCAAATACTTCATTTTTATGGAAAAATCCTTACCAATCCAAAGGGAATAGAAGTGTCTCCGAAAAAACGGATACGATATCCTTCCAAGAGCTACGGAAGACACGCCGAAAACGACCGCTAATATTACTTTTCTGTTGTTATCCGTCAGCCAGGGCTGTTGTAACACCCCTTAAATGCTTGTAAACAAATCGCCAAATCTTACATTTTAGACTTGTGGGATTAAAAAAATCGTTTTGTTTATATATCTCCATAACAAAGGGACGATTTCAGACAAATTTAGATGTTCAACCCTTTTATCAAATCTATGTACAACCCACAGCCATGCCGCGAATGGACGGTGGGGTTAAATTTACCCAAACGTCCAATCAGGCCCAAATAAAAAAGTAGTGATCTGACTGGTGACCTTATGGAAAAGTAAATTTAGACACAATTTATAACTATTATGGGTATCTTTTTTCAATCTGATCATTTTTGTCATTGTAAAATATATTTATAATACGTTAGCAGTGTAAAAGGTTTGCTGAATAAATATTTTAGCCTAGAATTTCGGGTGCAAAATAGTAGTTAATGGAAATTTATTATCCCTTTAAACCGGATTATTTAGTCAAGCAAAGTTGCTTTTTAATTCTCACAGTATTGACTGTAAAAATGTCATTTATTCTGTACTTTCGACTGTTTTCTGAGGTTGAACAGCATACATTTTTGGTAGGATAAAAATAAAACACTGACAGTCAAGAGTCATACTGGATTGCTCTTGTGATATAAATACATTGCTTCTGATACGATCTGTTTAATAAAAATATAAACTTGCAGCAGGCATAAGTCGATTTTTTGACGACATTTAATGATTACTGAAGCACTTTTGAAAATATATCTACATTAAATTATCATGGCCCGACTGCCTTTAAATACACATCTTTTAGTCCGATTTATTAGGCAATTTTTTCCACCACCACATGGCTTGGTGTTGTCAACATTATTTGAACAAAATAAGATCTCTTTCGTTTTTAGTCTTTTAACTCTCTTAGGTGGCATGATCCCTATTAGTTTACTCAAATTTTTGTTGTCAGCATCTAAAATTGACACCTGATTCTATAAATGTTATAGCAAGATTTTCACGTCTATAATGATACTTCAGATTGCAATTGCATCTTCCTCTTTTGTAACCCGGAACTTGCTAGTTGCATAATGTTGGGAAGACTTCTAGTAGCTTTTCAGTTTAACTATTCTGACTAAAGTATGTGTAAACTTGATTATCCGATAAGCATTACCAACTTAGCCTTTAAGAAAAAATGACCAGTAGTCTTCGTCCCAGTAAAACGTTTTTTATTCTATGATAATAACCGACAAGTTGTCTCTACTGACAAAATAAGTTCTTTTGATTGATAGTGATGGTCGAAAATAGACCTCATGGCATGTCTAGGTGAAAAAAATCAGCTATTAGACAATATGCATGTTAAATGAAGAACAGGGGTATTTTGATTAAGTCTTTGTTATTATGTATCTCTAAGAGATGTATTATAACAGTTACTAAAATTTTACATTTTTGTTCAATTAACTTAAAATTGCAGCAATTATTGAAAAGGTTTGACAACACTATATATTTTTTCCTGATTCAAGTTTAATTTTCTGATAGTTTCTGGGCTGCAATGATTTTTGTTCGCGTTGAATTATATCGGCGCATTTGGGACTAAAGCTGATCATGTTTTTTTTAGTGAATATATTAAACCTTCTTATAGACACACCGTAAAAGTATTCTTTTTTTAGTCCCTCAAATGGCTTGCGCTGCGATTTTTAAAATAGCTACTTATACAGCTGATCTTCATTCAACTACCAAAAATGCTTTAAAACTGTAAAGGTAGACTGAGCAAAATTTACTTAAAGTTAACTTAGCACCAAAATTGCTGGACGTATTTTTATTCAATAAGTCCATTTTTTAAATGCACATTAGCATGACAAAACGTTTTGTGAAAATCAAGGTGCATTAAAACAGTGAACGCTGTTTCGGGGGTTATTTGTATTTGAAATTGTCTAATTAATTTTATCTTGAATATAATTAGACCTACACTTTTTAAATATGAGAACAGCTTATGCCTATTCGGTTTTTTATGCATGAATTTCGGCCCATGCTGTGCTACGGTGCTTCGTTTAGGTAGGTCGACCCAGCACAGGAGAATGCTGCTTCAGCTTTGTTATGTACGCTAGCCTTAACAAATTTCATCTAAATTCATTTTGATATTGACGAACAATTCACTATGTTAAAGACATTTTTTGCTGTATCAAAACTGAATTTTATTGATAACCACAACTATAACCAAAAGAGGCCCTTGTTTAAAACTCTTCATAATCCCTATTTAAATTGCTTTAAGATAATTGAAGCCCGGAAAACGAGTAATTAAAGCCTTTAGCAGAGCAGAGCCCTATTCACAAAATTTATAAATGTGGATTAAACCTTCATTAAGACATACGAAGAGGATTAGGTCAATAAATTACCTTAAAAAAACTCCGGCATTCAATTTTAATGTACAACTCATCAATTTAAATGTACAACTTTTTTTGTTTCCCTCATCTTCTTAGAAATAAAATTTTGTTTATTTACCTCACCACAACTTCCCCCTAAGGCTAAATAAAATGCTAGAATTTGGTCCAGATGGTGTTCAAATTCTCGTGTATTATTCATTATTTTGTATAGCCTGGTGAAAATTTTACCAAGAATAATAGGGTAAGAGCTCCCTGTGGAAAACGTACTCCAAATTGTACACTGATTCCCATTTAAATGCAAGTTTGGGTAGACTACAGAATCCCAAATTCGTGTTTTTTTTTGAATTTACTGTCTTGGATCTACTTTGGGGAAAAATTGTAATTCACGTACTTCCTTCTCTGAAAATGAAATCACGTGTTTATAGCACTTTATGCAGCCTCCAAGACCATAACTTACATATTCCATGAACCATTTTTAAATTTCACAAAATCTTACTTTTTTGTAAACTATCTGAGCTCTCTAAAAGTCTAAGACAACAAATTCAGATTTGACATCTTCTTCCAGGGGCATACTGTCCTTTTAGTCTCCATTACAATGGCCCAATATAGATGCTTAGACTTCCGACAAGTGAGCGAGTGTTATCGCAACTTTATCTTTTGAAAATGTTTTTTCTACGAAAAATTAGCCATGGTAGTATCTTAATTTTCTGCACTGCATTGAAAATTCTTGCTACTGCTACATTTAATTGCCTTCTTTTCTTAACTCCTAATTGTGACCTGTTCTGAAAAACGCCCTAATACTGTACTATACCATGTGATGCTTCTAAGTCTTTTTCGTATTAATTACCAAAAGTGGGTCTACTTAGGTCAGACCCCTTAACCAACAGTTGATATTACAGAAAGTGTGTCACTGAATAAATTTCCGAGACGAAGGGCAAAATCGGCGTTGAATTGGAAATTCTACACTCTTAAGCCCAGTGCTAGCGGAAAACGACTTGTTATAAAAGGGAAAGCTGATTTTAATCGATATTCTTTTTTCCACTACGTTCTTTAGTTGTTTGAAAACCATTGAAATCAATGGTAAGTTATGCAGATTGAAATGGCATCACTTTAGGAAACTTCAAAAAATCAATAAGTGCACTGACCATTAGTTCAGCACTGTATTCCGTCCTCGCCCTACCAGACTTTTGAAGAGGTTTCCTGACTATATTATATCAACGAACCTGGTTTCTTTTTAGTTAGAAGTAATCAAATTAATCTGCTTTCAGAGAGCTTTTATTAGCTTGAAGCTGGAAGTTCAGTCATTGTACATTAGCCATTACATTAGATGATTGATGGATTTCATTCCATACAAAAATTTAAGTCAGCTGAAATAAACAGACCTTTAGGACTAAGTTAAACAAATCTTTCTATTATAATTCCACTCCTCTTCGCGTTATAGTCATCAATAGTGTTTTTCTTCACTCGCTTATCATCTTATGAACTGTTGAATCTCTGTTTGCTGGTTACTACATTCTACCAACTAAGTTATTCTACCATTTCATAGTTAGTTTGTGGGTGTTGTGCGTTTTAAAATAGTAAAAAAAATTAAAATGCTGGAACTGTAATAACTTATCCGGAGCCACATGTTGCTGTATCATTTCGTTCAGATTTTAGCAGGACTCAATCTTCTTGATGCATGCGCACACTTTGTACCGTTAACTATTCTGTTTAGTGGTCATGTCACCTTAAACCTTTTATCGATTTTGCTTCTTGGGTAGGAATCTACCGCAATCAACGTTTCGCGTGTCATGGAATCGCCAAATTGTATCGACGAGTTTTAAAGCTATCGATTTTTGTATGCGCATGCACCTTTGGGTTCGGCACCAGAGATTGGTGGCACGTGGGCCAATAGTAGGTGTGAGCAAAACTCCAAACTAAAACCACCGAGATGTACGCCTCGTAGTCATTTTGCAATGGCCGTGGGTCTGCCCCAGATGACCACAACCTCTTTCGCACAGCGACTTTCGCTGACCCGCAGTACTTCCCCACCACAATCACCACTGGTTTCTAGCAATCAACTTGCCAATGAAGTTATCAAGAAGCTTCTTCAACTTCAGTTAGTCAGCAGACTCGAAAGCCTCACAAAAGACGAATCCGTATTCGAAGACCGGTCGCCGCCATTCAGTCCAATTAATTTACAAAGTAGTTTTAACTTGGACGCCAACACACATCAGAATTCTGGAAGGAGTCTCTACAAGACCGAGATTTGCAAGCGTTATCTGATGAACTCTAATTCTAGTTGCGAATACGGCATCCATTGCAGATTCGCGCATGGGCTGAAGGAACTCCACCTCACAGCTCGCCACCCGAGGTACAAAACAGAGTCCTGCCGGGCCTTCCAACTCACCGGAACCTGTCGCTATGGGAGAAGGTGTGATTTCATTCACAATGAAACGCCCTACGAGTTGGAAATCCTACGAACGGAGAATGCACTCTATCAAGAGTACTGCATTCGTCACCCAAACGTCAAACATGTGACCCTCCTGGAAGTTCTTAGGGAATTCGCTCCTACTCGACCCGAGCTCAGGGGACTACTGAAGCACATTGAGACTCATTAATATTTCCGTTTGTTAATTTACATATCTTCTGTTCGTGCGTGATGTCACGTTATTAATAACTTATGTTGCATTTTTGTGCAACAAGATTAATATATATATCGACTTCTTAGCAACTTTTTCTTTACCGCTTTAACAGGGCGTGGATGTTTAAATTTGATTCTTTAAAAGTGGTTCTTTAACGTCATTGGTTGATACAATATTGTAGGCGAAAAGTAATTCCGTCATTTTGGATTTGTGGATGGATGGGGTGGGTTACAATATTAAGCGGGATCTTCGAGGTGCGTTATTCTAATTGGACTGAAATTCACATTGTTCAAATTTAACTGCATATGTTCATATGTTTGTTGATGGAATGTTTTACGCGGTTTCGCACAGAATTTGAAATGTCGTGCTGAAACTGATCTATTCATACGATGCGCCTCCTTAAGAGCGCTTCCTAGTGACGAAAGCGCAGAGTTTTGGGGCCTTACTTCGACATTATTTGATGCTGAATGTACTTTTCGTCCAATTTGCAGATTCGATAGAACGTGTTTAACATCGCGTGCCAATAGTGAAAAAAGGCTTTTGAGAACGATCATATTGGTCAATAAGCCTAGTTCATAACCCAACTAGCGAAAGATCTGGAACTGGTGGTTTTACTGGTAAAAACTGGCGCCGAAAGATAGTTCCAAACAGGTTAGCGCAGCTGGCTGGTGTCTGTGCTTATAGGGTGCTCCCGTTTACTTTTTCCGAGTTTACCCCTGCAGATCGTAGCCACTTTGCTAGGTTCACTAACATCTGATTTCATGCCATCACTGCAAAAGGACCCTATTTTTCGAGATTACCTGGTTCTGGCACTCTGAACCACAAATAAAGTGACGCTTATTTACTTTAATCAAAAGTTGCTTGGATAAATAATGACCTTAATTTAGTGCCATGGATCCCGCATAGTCATGCGCATAATCCTAACTAGTAGCTTTTGAGGTGTCAAGAGTAAAGGTAATCGAGATAGGCGAACGTTGCTATGTTCTGTTTTCGCGTTTAAGCACTTGCGTCACTACTGATAAACACAGCTAACTTCGTCAATGTGGTCATTAATTTGCACACTGTTATGCAATACCTGTCTTGGCCTTTAAGCATCTCCTTCATTATTTATAAGCAATCTGATCGCTATTTGGCACAATTCCATGCAATACCTAATTCGGTAAGGTCATTCCACAAGTTTTTTTTTAAATTAAGTGGATATCCTCAAAATGGTCGTTACCGCGCCAAGCCAGTCGTTTGTCTTTCAGATAGACAAGAACACAAGCAACTTTTCAGGCCCATAAGATTTTCGGTTAGCTTTGTGTATTTATAATATAAATACTTGTCACCAGGAAAAAATACACTACAATAAGTCCAGTGGAACGTGACTGCGCAATTCAAATGAAGCGATGCATCATTGGTGCGGACAGTACCCCTTTTCGTACAAGTTGATCTCTGCCCCATGACCGTCACACAAAGACCATACGATCATGATTCACAACCCCACCAATTTCACCAAGTGGACGTCATGCGAACATCTACTACTTACATTAATCTAGAAATTTAGCTGGTCGATGACGAAGCCGTCCACATATTTATAGTTCAGCTGCATTTACGAACCATCTTGGAATACACTCGAGTAGAAATCCACTGATTTTAGTCTATTTATGTAGCCACTAGCGGTTGCTGCTGACACGAAAGCCCTTTTCTGGGATGGCATCCTTTTTGCCCAACCACTTTCCTGAAATCTTAGCTTCAGTAAATCTCTATACCCCCCAGAACTACCCGGAAAGCTTTAAGTAGAAGTGCGGATAACCCCTCCCACTATCCAACTCTGGCAGCAATTATTTTGCGTCAAAATTCGGGCAATACCGTTAGACCAACCATTAACAAAATCATCTATGATTTAACGCAGCAGGGTTCGTGCATTTGCTTGCTTAATTTCACTTTGATTGCAACTTCAGCGAAGAGCACGGCTCGCTTGATTTGCGGCAGCGTGAATCGCACTCGGGCGCCGTATCGATTTTCACCGCGCATGACACGTGCTCAAGTGGAGTCCAGTTCACTCAAACGAAACACGACAAGGCAATCGTTGAGACGTATTGACCGAGTGTCTAAAATTTTTTGGCCAATTTTTTTTTCAAAATTAACTAACTATCCAATTAAGAGCAACAAGCTTTTCTACTAGAATTCAAAGGAAGTAGAACAGAAGGGTAGGAAGTTGGTCAGACGAGGTACATGTTTAGGCATCTAAAATGCCTATTTAGCTATCCGGAATTAACCGTTGACAGTTATTTAGAAGGTAGTAAGTGTTCATAGTCTGCTGCTATTGCCAGTTTTAGCGAAACATCCGACCCTGATTTAACCATTAATTGACGCAAATGTGTTAAAAAGACGTAGACGACGAAAACGTGGTAGTGAATGATAATTTTCAAGCGATAGACCCACGATTACCATGATAAACATTAGAGTAAGGCATGGGTACTGGTCAGTGAAATTCCGTGATCAGAACGTGAATTGCATACTAACCGATTACCCGTTTATTAAAAGGATGAGATCAAAGAAAACGCGACCTAGCCTTACACGTTTTACATCTTATGAAATATAAAAGACAGTTTTATCTTGATACTAGATTTTAAAGCATACTATGCTTGAAGGATAGTGGTTTTTAGGATGCGCTTTGCAAAATACTCAGGTAAAAAGAAACATTGTACAGATCACAGATCAGGAATTAGTCATCGGTGCCTTGGCGCTGTAGAAGGTCGTAGTAGCGACTCCTCTTGCGGATTAGCTCCTCGTGGGTTCCTTGCTACAAAATAAATTACAGCGAAAGAACCACACAGCCCCAAAAGCTAAGTCGATGACAAAAGTCGTAAAACAAACAAATATCTAGCTGGGAAAGCACTTTACGACGCAAAAAAATCCATAATTCAACACCAGTAGCACATAAACAAGACGTGATTCCAATTTAAAAAAGAGCATTTTTATCAAGGACAAAGTAGCTTTCAATAGCACAAACAATCAGGAGTCCTTCATTTACATCAGCACTGAGTCAAAAATGCACAAACTTGATTAATCTGCAAACAGGTAACAAGTTTCGGTGAACGACGTACCTCGACAATTCGGCCTTTATGCATCACCATTATTAGATCGGCTCTCCGTATTGTGCTTAATCGATGCGCAACAATCAAAACGGTTCTTCCTGCAAAGAAAGTGGATATTGGCACACACGGACGCAACTCAACAACGAATTCTCGAGTCCTTAAATACTGTCAGTAGTGATGACATAGTGGAAAAGCGATTTTGCGAGTTGGCAAACCTGGTAAAGATTACTGGTAGTGGTCGGTGCTAAATTTTAAAAAAATTCGTTTACTGGAGTAGTTTTAGTATTCTGAAACGGAAATTGACCGATTTACCTAAACAACACCATAAAATTCGTTTAGCAGTTGTAGGTTTTAGTGAAAAACACCAAAGGATGTAAAGTGGCGCTCTAGGAGACCATCATTCGAGACAAATGGTAAGAATATTTTCACCGATAACACCGTGGCGGTGTTGGAGAAGTCAGCGTTTTTTAAGACCATGCTCTTAGCAATATGGAGCCATGAATTTGATCAACTCACACCACTTTTTAGCTTGCACTGACACCTTTTCATTGGTCATTACTAGAAATTGACATAAATGTGCTCCAGCTCATGCAGTGATATATGATGTCGTGCAAAAAGGAGACAGGATTATCGAGAACATCCAGACAACAAAGTGCAGTGACTGGTTTACAGGCTATGGCGTTCGACTAGCGTGCTTACCGGACATGGCGTTTTGGAGAGCCGATTGGACCAGGAACTCAGACTCAGCATCAAGAGCCGACGTGGCCTCGTCAAGAAGAAGAATCGGCGCGTTTTTGACCAGTGCTCGGGCAATCACGAGGCGCTGTCGCTGGCCCCCACTAAGGCCGGCGGAACTCGAGCTAGAGCCTCCGCCGACTACCGTGTCGTAGCCACTCGGTAGCTGCTCAGTGATGAACTGGTTCGCCTGGGCGTCACACGCGGCGGCCACAACCTAGAAGACCAAACACGCGAAAGGACCTCCACATGGTCACCAATCACAGACACAGTAATCCAACGGGCACCGCTTACATCCGCATCACTTGCTGTTGGCTGTGCACACCGAATGTTCTCGCGAACAGTCCTGTGGAAAACTTCCGGCTCCTGACTTATGTAGCCAATCATCTGGCCACGAAGTGCTGACAAACTGAAGTCTCGAATGTCGACCCCGTTGAAGGTTATCTTGCCAGCCAGCGGCTCATAGAAGCGCTCCAAAAGGGAGAGAACAGTTGACTTCCCTAAAAAGCACACTTCAAATTACTCTAAAGCAATCAAAATGGCACATCCCGCAGCGAAAACTCAACCCGGGAGGAAAACTGATCGACGCGGAGTTAAAAATTCAGACGAACCTGCACCAGATTCCCCCACAATGGCAACAACCTTCCCTGCTGGGATTTCAAAGGTGAGATTGTCGAAAACCACTGCCTCCGGTCGATTGGGGTAGCTGAAGGTGACGTTTTCAAACCGGATTGACGGAGCCGACTTGTTAAAGTGAAAATGAGTGGTGGCATCAACAGAAAGAACGTTGCCGAGGCCACGAGTGTAGGCAGACGTCTCACTTGAGGTTGGGTAGGAGAGAACCTGAAAGGGCCAAATAAAAGAATCGATCGGCAACGCACTTAGGAACATTAAACTCTTGAATCCAAACGCATGACGATGTAACTCATTAAGGATGTGGTGTGCAACACTAGTAACATCGAAATTTTTTTGGTTAGCAAAGCAGCATCAATCTGCGGACCATCGGCGACGCTTCATGTGGTTTTATCCCGTTTTAATCAGTAGAGGATCTCTATCTAAGGTCGAGCAGGTACATCCAGTTAAGGAGGTGTATCTACATGACGTACATTTCCCCCGAACCAACCCAAATCATTTGGATTCTAGCAAGAAGCCTCGTAAACGGTTGGCTGCAGAAGCAAACAACTGATGTCAAGTTTACTTCTGTTCACTAAGAAGCCGCAACACCGAAGTTTTTTTCAGAATAAACGGGAACACACCTCGGAGATTCGAGCAGCAGCCGAAGTGCCTCGAACGACCTGTCCAAATAGGAGTGAAAGTTGAATGAGTGATCGATGAACGGCCTGTGTGGCAACGAGGAAGGCCATTAGCTGTCCCGCGTCCATATCCCCTCTAGCTATCAGATTTCCGCCCAAATAGAGCACACCAAGAACCAAACCTGCAACCAATAAAAGCTCGAGTGTGAGGCTGGGAAAAAGGTGTTCAGGCAGCACAGAACGACTCCCGAAATCTTGCAACCCAAGGTAACTAAAAATCGGTAAAACGAAGTGGGTAAAGCCTCCTCAAGGTGCCTGAGCACGGGTGGATATCTAGCTTTTGAGCCTGATAGCAAGTCATGATGCTTCAGTAAAACATATTGTCTACGACTTCAAAGCCCTCATAAATCCATGAACGCTGTTTTGGTTTAAACTTGTTAGAGTAAATGTCAATTTCTGTGAAATGCTGATGGATGGATGCATTTGGATACAGAGGGGCCTAGTGAAGCGTGCCAGTTTGTTAGCCCCTAGTAATCCAAAAATACCTACCGTGAAGTAGTAATACCATAGCCCAACACCAAGATATAGGACCCAACGTAGCCAGATTCCGGAATCAAACAAGGGTATACCTACCATTCATTGCAAAGTTTGAAAGGCCTTGAAAGCAGCCAATTCCATAGCCAAGGATTTCGAACAACCTGCAGGCTTCACTTGTCCCGTCAGAATACTGTCTAGAGCAAAAGTCGGATGAAAAATTAGTTCAGTAAAATCCACTAAAGCAAAGGCGTCTGCATACAAGACAACTTACCTGATCATTTGTGGTTCCATTGCAAGCGATTTGACGGATCTAATGTGAGTAAACGCCTCGGTTGCGATTTCAGTTGTCGCATTGCTCTGGCACAAAAATAACAGCAGTTGGACAGGGAGTTACAAATATGGCCACGAAAATTATGTAGAATTGAGCACGAATGTCTCACATACGGTAGTAAGGCAAAATACTATCTCAACTGAAACGAACCACAAACTGGATTGGCTCGTCCTCTTCTACCAAGAAAGTGAATTAACAAACCCAACTGGTGCTTATTCTAAGCCAATCAGATCTCTACTAGCCTTTGACATCACTCAAAGATATCAGAGATAAAATTGGACCTTAGATAAACTTAGTGAATCCACTAGCAACGACTACAAGTGTGAGAGTATCCAATTTCGCTAGCTTTCGACGAGCAATTACATACCAAAATCAAGGAGTTCCTAAGACGTCGACCTGAACCTAGGTAATCTAAAAGATTTTTCAGATAAATTATATAGACAACACAATGTTGAATGCACCCTTTCTAATTGAGATATATAAATTTGCATTTAAGTGCATTTAGCATCCAACAGCACCGCTACACTAACAGTGAGAGAATCGCTAAAGTAGGCTTCTCCAGATTTCCTATATATGCCAGAAAATTTAACCAAGAATAGCTCAGTGAGAAATAGGTTGGAACTGGACGGTACTGGAGCAAACACGGTGGTCGAGCCAACTTGCTAAAACTCAGCACATCAAGATAAGACACTGGACCGAAAAGTTGGTAGGTGACTCTACAGAACTCCCAACTGTACGCATAGAGGTCTCAGTGCTTATTAAATCAACAATTTAGAGTTCGAGATAAGCTACAAGGCAAGAAGGTTTATGTGAATGATGAGGAGATTAATTCGAAAGCGTTCTGAGCAGTTATACTTTCTCAGAATGCAAGCGTGCGGCTAAGCAAGACCTACAGAAAAGAGGCAAATTAGCATGAAAATTGCGGAGATTCAAATTACACTTTTTTCCCGAAAGTAATAACAGTCAAGTCGACCTGATTGAGACATACAACTCACCTTATCGTGTGCTGCGTGACTCAATCGACGCAATTGGCTAGCAATCAGACTGCCAACAAAGCAGACGAGTGGAAGGCATCCCATGAGAGCGGCTGTTAGCGTCGGAGATATCGTGTACATGGCGATGCCCGACCCGACAATCTACAGTACGAAGCAAATTAATGTAATAAATTGCGACAATCACACGGAATCGGGCAACGATTTCAGACAAAAGCATCCAACTTAGCATCCGACAACAAAGCCACAAAATGCACTAAAACTCAATTGTCTCGATTTAGTTGCAAGATTCGTCCAAAGCGCCCAACTCCATTAGTTCCGCGCAATTTTTATGCGCCTGAAAAACACTCCAAAGCAGTGTAGGGATGGGAGAAGAAAATGGTGACCAGCCGCGCCCCGGACAGCTGCCTCGAAAGTTCGCAGCTCAGTTAGGAGTCATGCAAGTGGGTTTGTACCAAATGGGGAAAATTCAAAACTTTGAAGTCGGGTCCCATCACATGCGTTGACCGAACACAACCTAGGTCAATGTACGAATACGTGCTTTTCGCTGCTTGCTCGTCAGCAACAAAAAGAGCGGATGATAAGAAAAACATTTTTTTATGAGAGTCCCAAACGTAAAAAAGTGTCGTGGGTAAGTCCTGGGCAACCCAATACATCGACGCCAAAACAGGACATCCACTTGAAGAAGATTCTTCTATGTGTCTGGTGGTACATGGAGGATGTACTTTAACAGTAAATCCTGGAAGCTGGTCGTCAGATGGTGACTGCGGAACGTCACAGACGACAATTAAACGAACCGAGGGAAAAACGTGATCAGAAAAGGCCATTTACTGGACAAGGGAGCAGGCAAGTCATAGTGTTGCTGGATGACAACGCTCGACCTCATCACATAGCTTGCACGACTCGAAAGACCCTTTTGAACTTGGGATGGACAGTTCTTCCATGTACAGCATATCCACCAGACTTGGCTCCATTCGACAACCATTTCTCTGGTCAATGCAGCTCGCTCTAGTGGATATACAGTTCAAAAAGCCGGACATTATGCGTAAACGCATCGATAAAGTTATTGTCTCGAAGCCTGCAAGCTTGTTCCACGGTGGCATCCGTACGCTACCTGGTAAATGGCGCAAGGTTATAGAAAAAGATGGACGAAATTTCAACAATTAAGGTTTATGTTCTCTATTTTTGTATATTATACAAATTTACTGAAAAATATCCGTAATAATTAAGTCATACACCGATTACAGGAGCGTATATGCACAGGTTCATAGTGAAAGACCACATGGGTTGAAAAAGGTAATGGTTAAATTGCACCGAGCCCAACACGGGGATAGAATCTCCGGAATTGAACTTGGTTTGCCTCTTTTGCGCACACTAGGCACGATTGTCGTTAGGTTAAGCTTATTGTTACACTACAACGTCACGAATTGTTGGAATCGGAAGACAATTTCACAAGTAGTGCTTACTTGGGCGCCACTGCGGAGACCCTGGGAAATGCAAAGTTTGAAGGAGCTCTTGAAGTCCTGCACATCCGCGGTCATCCTGAAATACAACAAAATGACAAACAACGTACTAAGCCCAAGAGGTGAATTGTAACGGGCGAGAACAACACGGATGCGGCCACGAGACACAATTTTGGGATGCCCTAATAGCCAAATGTAGCATTCCTAGACCCATCAAAGAAGATCTGAACGAAGACTGTGGAAGGAATTATTGCTTCACTGTACAAATCTTGTACAGTCAGGCGTTAGACTGTGCACACTGGAGCGACTGACTGGCATTTTTTTAACACAGTAACAACACATAGGTGTTGGTGATTATAGTAATTGCCAGTTTTGGTTCAACAGGGCAAGAATTGATATGCGTAACATGAGCCGAGTCATAAATAAATGCGTTACAGTTGTAGTAACAATTGCCCATTAGGTAGTACAAGTGGCCTTCTAGATGCTGAAAAGTACCCAGAAACTCCCATTGGCTAATTGAGGTTTAAAGTGGCTCAAAGTGTTTATCGATTTTTATGATATCATTACAACAGTGCAGAAATCGGCAGTGGGTTGCAGGTGTAACTAAAAATAAACAAATAGCGCTATTACAACTAAGAGGTACTTGTGGATAGGAATATTTTGTGGAATATTATCGGCTACTAGCGTGATGATAACACAAATTACGACTTGTGCCATGTAGTCAAAGCCAAAGCCAGATAACAGCATCGCATTTGCATGGAACAGGTAATAGGTTTAAACAAGAATATGCCAACTTTAGGCAATGCATTTATGGCGGAGCTCCCAGTCCCGCAAATCAAAGCAATGTCGTCTTACCTTTCAATAATCCACCCAGAAGTGAGAGAGTCAAAAAACGGAATTCTTTGAAAAATTACATGTTCAAATAGCATGTTTCTCAAGCGCGACGCAAACCGCTCACCAACCGTGGCAAGGAAGCCAATATAGGCAAATGTGCACAGTGACTAAAATATGCCAAGGTAGTTTGAAGAAAATTCTCGTCACTCGAAATATCCCTTATGATTAGTGGGACACCAAACTGTGGTACCATTAAACCAAGATCCCTTAGAAACTAATAGCGAGAATGACATCGCCAATTTGACTAACTTGTGGAATGTTCAGTTGTGTGCAGATGTTGTACAGGTGGGCACCCATTAATAGTGCATTTGTGCAGCATTTCTACACTTTACTGAACGCTGGCTTACCAACATGTCAATGTATTCAGAAGCTGTTGAAGCATAGTTCGTCGTTTGCGAAAATACATCGGACTGCTGTGTGTACCGTTGCAGAACTTATTTCTAAAACTTCGACTCTATTAACAGCAATCGGTCGATACCTCAATACAAAAGTGTAGGAGTCTTACTGAATGTTTTGCAACTTGCCGACAACCAATACTGTAAAGTTTTATCGTGGGAAGCTGAACAAGGTGACGGATTTCCCACTCCTCACTCACAAATAAAGAGTTTGAACAAGAAAGGAAACGAGTTGTAAGCATTTTTCAGCTTTTTTTCTTTAAGAGAAATAGGAAAATCCCTTTATTTTTGTTTACGAACGTTTCCATGCATAATTTGGCGAAAATCATATACAGCTTGACAGTGTCATGCCTACATAATACGAACGTACCATATGCTACTTAAAATGGCAGTTGCGTAAGTTAGATAAGACGTCAAGTAAAATAACATGACCTGTAACGCACGATGCTACCACTCAGGTAGGGAACAGATCGAATGTGACGGAAATCAGGGGCTACTGTTGCCATGACAATACCTTCCACCCATTTTTTGTAAGAACTACTCCAAATTCAACAACGCTGAAGGGAATAAAGCGCAGTTCCCCCACTTTACTCCACTAACAGTCGTAGTTTTCAGATCAACGAATATCTACTGGTACAAGCGGTGACTTGTTAGTCCCTACAAAGGGATTGGCCATTGCATGTCGGTAGTCAAAGCGGCGGTTACATATACTCTTGCCCTGACGCTCAAAAGTACTTAGTAAGATAAAAACCACTATAAAAGGTGAGCATTAAGTAATTATGTTTAGCAAGTAAACATCCATTCATTACCAAAAATCTGCTAAATGACGATACACATTAATTCAAGTTCGATAAAGCTCTATGGTTCCAGATAACCAAACGTTGTGAAAAAAAAGGGAAGTGAGGTAAAAATACCGTGTTTGATTTGACGCTTTACTGACCATGAAGTCGGCTAAATTCCAAGGTTACAGTAGAACTACCGAAAGTTATTTAGTAGGCAACTGGGGAAACATAACTATCATTGTGAGTCATGGTAACTCAAATTGATCAAAGAGTTTAAGTTTAAAAATTAAATAGACGGATGACGATGTCACCTGCAGGTAGGCAAAGCAAAATGTATTGGATTGAGGAACAAATCACTGCGTTTCACATTAGCAACATGACAAACGATGCAATTTATAAGTCCTACTGAACCCTCCATATTCTCCAGACTTGCCTCTGGAATTCTCATCTTTTCTTATCATTGTCTAGGAATTTCCGTAATTTTTTCAACACTGAAGTTTAATTAAAAAACATGGTTAGACGAATTTTTCAGCCAAAACCTCAAGATTATTTTTGTAAAGACGTGGCAAAAGTAGTGATAAATAACGACACAGAATTTATTGATTGAATTACGTTCTGTTAAGCATCAAGAAAAAGTTTTCTTCTGCTAAATGTTTTAAAATGTGAAAGGTTGGCCACAAATTTTCATAAAAATGCTCGATATATTTATAAATTTTTAAAAAGTTAAAGTTACATGTATATATTACGAAAAAGACACGTCAAATTGGTAAAGGCCCACAAGGAAACATAAACATGAAAAGAGGCGGAATAAACGGACATAGGGGTCGAATTGTTCAGAATACAACACAAAATGCTTACTTGAAGTGAGAAGGCACCACAGAGATAAAGCGATGGTGACTTTAAAGCCGCAACCGGGACAGAATGGGAATGAGTAAATTGAGCAAGAACATTGATAAGATCCCCGAGAAGTATGGGAATTCGAATATTAAAATAAGCCGCACCAAACGCACCCTATATGTCACCTAAGGAATCAAACTCCAACCTACCAGTACGGCCAAAAATAAATATGGCAAGTCTGCTACTATAAGAGAGCCAAATATGTTCGGCGACAGTATATTTACTTGAGTGTTGTTATCAATTTGTGTAGTTATTGTGTCTTCCTTGAGCAGAGGCTCCAACACGTCTTTAGGTGATTGAATAAACGGTACGTCAGAATCAGTTAAAGGGCGGGAATTGATTGAAAATAAAGCAGCTGCACCAGCTGCACAGAAAGTCAATCCCGTATACGCTCGCATATTTTGCTTTATATGAAGGCGAATCCCATTTCCTACTTTACGTGGTGAAAATAGGCTATATCTAAATTGGCAAGGCCTCAATAAAGCCGATTTCTGCAGGAACTGTGTACATCTATACAATAAATACATCATACATGAGCAATTGAATACTCAGGTCAAAAATCTTAGGCTAGTAACACCGACAGAATGCAGGTCACTTTGGAAGGTCTGTGGCTTACCATGGATTTTATGAAAAGGGCTTTTCTTCTTAGTTGACTTTTAAGTCTAAGAGATGTTATGGTAAAAATGTGTAGGAGTTCGATTAAAGTTAGTGGAGGGAACTCAAATACTTTTCCTTGCTATAGCTAGCTCGTATCGCATTTTAATAGGATAGCATTAACTTTTCTTGAAATATTAGGGCGGTTTTTGCTTTTAAATTGTCTTTAACATCATAAGTACATTCTTAAATAGCCTTGCTGTGTTAGGCTAAACATTTTTATTGATCGAACTAAAGTCAAAGTATACAGGCTTGACTATTCAACTATTTTGCTAAGTAGATGCTATTCGAAAAGTATATTGAAATGATTCCATTCTGTAGAAATTCAGAAATGGCCCTGCCGTGAGTAATTTTTATCATGTTACTGGAAGACAACTGACAGCTTAATTGACTGTAGCCTCTCTGGCTTAGCCTTATCGGACTTACATTTCTGTTGCGCACTATTTATATTGACTTCCTATAGTGTATCATTTCATTAGTGCAAAGTTTAAACCAGAAAGCTTTATTGTTAAAAAACCATTGAATATCCCACTAAACTAAAACCACTAGCCGAATCTTTTGCGATATGTGGTACTCACTATTTGAGTTAGTTCTGATTCGGGTCCAAATGAAGCTTTGCATTATATTAATTTTGTGGAGGAAAAAATGCTTGAACATATTAACATCAGGTTTTTAGGCACAATCAGTGCAAATTCCATTTTCCGTTTATTACAGGTATAATTATGACCTAGTTTAATAATCCTAAAGCAGGTCTTACATGGACTACACTCACTCTTAGTAAAACATTTTGGTATCTGAAGGTCCATCATGGTTTGGTTTCAAATTATTTACTTCCGCTTATTGATTTAATCGCCTCTGTTATGTTTCGTTGGTTTGAAAGGAATTTAACAATTCATGGCTTGTTGGTTGGTGATAAATAAAATTGCTGAATATGGTTTCAATTCTTGGGACTGTTCACTTTTATCGGGATAGGAAAAACTTTAGTTCTCAAGCTAGTTCAAATTACTTGGGTACATGATGAATTGTGATTTAGTCATGTTCTTTTTCTACACGGCTTTAAACATCCATCCTTTATTCATAAATGCTTACAACCCACGGATGCAATTTGGATTGGTCTGTTTACTGCAAACTTTGCGACATCTTGGATATGTAGACAATCTGCAGACTTCCCCCTCTAGTCTAAGAGAAAAAGGTTTGCTTGACCTTCATAGTGTCAAACATAAAATGCGTAGTATATTTACACGGAAACATGCTGTCAAAAGAATGCAGTGTCCTAGTACGGCTCTGTTGTTCTACTTACTAAGTAACAATTAATTTAACATTCCAGGGTTTTTTTTTACATTTTGCTTGTTACAGATGGACGAAATACCAAAACAATGATGACCAAATGCTCTGTTAACGTTTTTAAGCAGCGTTAATTTAAACTAAGTTGCAAACTGACATTACTGTTTGGTCTGTGACTCTTGTTACTAAGTTCTCTTGAATAAGGGTTTATTTTAATTTAATAATGTTGGAATTCATATTCAGCTTCATAAAAGTCCCTGAAATGTCAAGATAAGTAAGGATGCAGAAACCACTCAGGTAGGGATACCAGACTCACATTTATGCGGAATATACCTGTTATTCTACAAAGCGAGTCACGCTTTGTTCCATAATTACAGCAAGCTTTTATTCGGCTAAATATAGCTAGTTCTTCCCATGTTTGATAACTAAGCCTTTTCCTCACAAAAGTGATTATTTTCATGCAAGGCTACAATTACCAAATGAGCAGTAAACCTACACGGTATGTAATTATGCTTAAAATCACCCGTTAGGTCGCTGATGGTTGGCACTAGGCTCTTCCGGCCATGATTCTCTTCACACACAGCTGTATGCCTGTTCAGGGTTGAAGTAAAAGCAGCCTTTGAAAATCTGCGAAATCCTACATACAGTCACATTTGTGAGGTACTAGCTCCTTTGGAATTACCTCTTATAATTACCAGAGTATATTAACCGAGATATTGAATTGTCTCTCAAGGACAACTGATCTTTTTGCTAAGATTAAGAAGAAATGTGGTGTAGAGTAAAACGATTTGATAATAATCTCTCTTCATGGTGTACTTTGATCTTGATGTTACCTTACTACAAGTAATCAACATTTCTTGGGAATCGCTAAGTAAAATTCTGGTTTCATTGCACTCTCTCTTGCCCAAGCATATTTTAAACGATTACGTTATTGTAACAGCGTGATGTCAAGGCATTGCATTTAGTTAATTGTTAGGTTGATAGCAGACTATCAGTGGAATGCGGGATGTTGAATTTCGGCGAAATTGTAGCAGCTAAGGTTAAAGTTATAATTTCGCACAACCACGGATCGCTTAGTTACGTTTTATTTAAAAAAATGGTTAACGGTAGGGGTATCATGAGAGAAAGCAGATTAAAGTTAAACTATGCGAAGGAGCTAATTACGGGGGAATCCATTACAACTGTAGCCGAAATCACAGTCCTTCAAATATTCAACTAAGCTGAAGGACGCCCTATTTATAAAATGAATTTAATTTTAGACTCAGGTGGGCTTCAAGATGACGCACCCAGGTTTTGTGGCTAACAGTTTCACCATAGTTTATGGGACTATTAGCTACCTGCAATGAATTTACCTTGTGTCTGCTTCCTGATAATGGATAATTATGTTATTTGTACCTGCATAACCGCCACAAACCGGCACTCAGCCAGTAAAAAATGCAGGCATTGACCCGAGCTACAAGTAAAGTGCACGACCCGATCGCCTTATTTATCGCTGGAGCTGGAAACGCAGTCCTAATTGCAGGGCTGATGGCGGTGCTAGGGGACACGATAGAGGAACTCAATGAGCTAGCTCGAATCTACGAGGTTCTGGAGTTGTATCCAGGTGAGCACAAGTGCAGTGATTGGGACTGTGCTTGTCGGTTTGTCCGGATGAACTGCAATTATTATGCACGATTCACCTTGCAACGGCACAAAATAGTGGATTCATTTTAATTTTTACCTAATCCTCGTTTAACGAAAACCATAAGTTAATTTGTCAAAGGGTGTGAAAAAGACCGATTCGTCTTTGTTGGGAAATTCTGGTGAAGCGGACATTGAAGATCAGAATTTGGAGTCTGGTAAATTGATGGTGGTGCCTTGCTTACATATCTTTTATCCAATCCGACCCCCGAAGGATCAGCGAAAAAATTAAGATGCTGAGATATTTGACAAATTAAGCCTGTGCTCAAGAAAACAAATAGGATCAAAATAGTTCAATGAATTTGTATAACATTAACCTTTTCAAGTCGAAGCATGTGACCCGTCTACATAGGATATGATCACAATCGTATCAGATGTCGTCAAAATGATCTATTGCTTAGGTAGTTATTCAAAAGTCCTAATCCCCCATTTATGACCTTTCAAGCACCTGTTACATTCGCATCTCATGGTTAATTAGTATACTTGAGTTTGATGTTTAAACCGGTAGTTAAAAGTAGGAATCCCCAAGCATATTCCGTACACTGAACTCCGAATCTGATGACCTTGTTCTGTTCGGTAAAGCTCAGCTTAATTGCAGGAGGCCTTTTGTAATATAATGTGTCTCGATTACGTTCATAATGTTTGACAAACAAACTTATCTTCTTAGCAATGGCCCAAGAAATGAAGGCCGTGGCAGATCTACGGAATGAGGCCGGTGAGGAGTTCACACTGGACGAGAGGAATCGCTTGTCGATAGCCTACAAGCACAAAACCGGCCAGCTGAGGTCAGCCTGGAGGACCACGATGGAGATGATTCCCAGTGCACGAAACGAAACTACTGCTGAACTCATTCGAAAAGTCCAGAACCAACTGAAGGAGGAAATCGTTGCCGACTGTCATGCGGTTATCAAGATGCTTGAAAAACAAAACATTGGTGCAGATGAGGCCGGAATTTTCCTCATTAAAATGTAAGCTATATTCACTATACATTTGCAATGTTATGGATTGGAATTGGATTTGTCTGCGACGTCAAGGGTTTAATAATATCTTTTTTGTAAGAATGTAGAAATAATAGCCATGTTTAAGGGTTTCGTACACAGGAAATGTCGTCAAAGGATTTACGAATGCAATTATTTATCCTGTTTGAAATGAAATGGAATGTGCTTACCTCTCGTATTAATCCAAAAAGGCGACAATAATAAATACTATTGGGTTAGTGGCAAGTGACAACAATTTGAAATAGCCAATACATAATAAAACCGTTCACGCAATCGTGCACGTCAAACAAAGTGGTTAGTGGTAAGATGAAACTGTCTCGTTTAATGTTCATTCATACAACGAAAACTAAATCGATAAAGGTTATGCCAACTTCTACTTCACAACCAGCGACGGGTTGCATTTGCTTCATTTTTTGGACACACAGACTGTGAAGGGGGTTACCTTAGCTGATCTAAGTACTAGCAGTCAATAATCAGAAAGTATTCAATGTCTTATTGTTGCTCTACGATGACCACTAGATCGCCACCAATAAGGTATGTGTGCTTAAACGCGGGCTACCCTTACTTGTGGTCCAAGTAGGAGATCGCCACATTCTTAACTAAATGCACGAGGAAATGCAGAGGCAAGACAGTGTTTTGAAAAATGCCTAATAAGGCACTTCCGAATTTTGACCGACGTTCTTCATTCCTTCAGGAGAGGTGACTATTTTCGATATCTGGCAGAGGTCGACCTAGATAACTCCAAGTTTAGAGAAGAGGCGGGTTCCGCATACGAGGAGGCTTCAAAGCTGGCCAACGAACTGCTACCCTCTACCCATTCAGTTCGATTGGGTCTGGCCCTAAACCACTCCGTCTTCCTTTACGAGATAGTCGGAGACAAGACGCAAGCTCGCCAACTTGCCAAAAGCGCCCTGGATGGCGCGTTGCAGAATTTTACTAAAGCCGACGAAAAACAGCAGGAGGTCACATTCATCCTCCAACTACTTCGCGATAATCTCACATTGTGGGCGGCGAACGAAGACGAGGAGGAAAATGACCAGGTAACCGTTTGCCACATTGACTCCAGAAATTTAAACAAAACCTGACCCATTTATTCCCTCATTCCGTGTTTAGACCATCGACATTGTATTGCATTGGCCTGTGTAGATGCATCGTCTCCTTAAGGTAGCTCAAGTAGCCTGTAGGAGCCGAGTTTAGCACTACCTCACTACACGAGAAGAGGGGGGGAAGAGGTAACTGACCACGACCGCTTATTAGTGTCACACCAGCCCGGTGGCTTTGAGTGCTCATGAGCACTCGTGTGAAACAGGCGACAGCTAACAGGAGCCAATGGCGAAAATGGTGAGTCATTCGTACGGTCGGGCCAGCTTACACGCATCACTCACGCGAGGTGGCTGTCTGTCCACGACAGTGGATTCACGAAAAATCGATTGAACCCTGTTCGCTGACGCTTGCACACTGCTTTCGCTCACGAGTGCTGTGTTCGCTTGTTGCTTGCCATAAGTCTCCATTTCGTCTTAACGACCATGGTGTTTTGATATTTGGGGCTCTTGTGAAGGTTCTAGTAACATGGAAGATTAAACGATTGATTGTGCCATAAAAATGACACTATTTAGGCATTTTCCGTGTTACTCATACATCACCCTTGAACCTGTCATTGGTGCTAGGTTCAATTGCACAAACTCACACTTCTCCTTTCAGAGTTCTTAAAGTGGCACCGCCTGCGACTCGCACAAAGCAGAGGGAGCCTCTCGGTGCATCAGTCCTGTACATCCACAGTGCTACGTCTGCGTTCAATTCACCCATTGTTTAAATAAATACCACTCAACAATACCATTCCTGTATCGTTAAAAGTCCATAAACGCAGTGGACGCTCACTTTCGAATTTCAGCTCTGCCTGGCGGTCATGTTGTGAAACACGACCCGAAAACATTGACGGATATTCCCTTCCCTCCTCTTAATCTCCCACTAACCGATAAGAAGAAACACCTGTCTTACTACTCACAATTCTTCTTGGATGGAAGCAAATAAATCTTAAATAATAGTAGAAAAATGGCATGATAAAAGGGGTACAAAGTAACGATGACCAAAAAGCGTTACCGACGAGGTTCCAACGTGCTGGTCACACACCTAAGGAGCAAATAAAGGACGATTGTGCTTTGAAAAAAACGGAAATTTTCGTAAATCCAATGAAGCCCACTTCTCGTCACGTACAAAAAAGCACGCTTTGGAGAAGGCATACACTGATGTTTTCCTTACCAAAGTGACAACACCTGCCAACTCCCAACTTACCACTAAAAACAAGGCAATTCCAATTAGTGGTTGATGTGGCGCCGGTTTTTATCCAGATGAGCGCCCCACAGAACTGCTTTCAACTTAACCATGTCCCTCACACTACTTTGTCCCTCCCCAACATATCAGATTACCGTACCACGTGAGAATTGTCTTTTTTTAATGAGGGTCAAAGCAATCTAAGGGATTGTATTTAGCTAATTCACCTCGTGGATTTCTCTGGTGAATCATCGGTGCCCGAGTGGATAGTTTACCTTGCTTATTAACCGCAATAGTGCCACTGAACATGTAGTACTGCCCTGCGCTACTTCACGATCCTTCTAATTAAGTGCCAGTTCCATTTCAAGAACAAGGAACGCCTCGGGTTATTTGTGGAAACCAATGGAATGAACTGCTGAGTCACGTGGCAACCAGTTTGAGGTAAACTTGTTTGGACGACTCACTACCACGCCTCAGGTGGCAATTCTTTACACGTCTAACTTCCAAGTATACCCTGAAAGCGTGTAGCAAGATTTTTTAGGCTACACCTCATTTTCATTACAGTAGCTCAAGTCACGGCTCTTGCACACAGGCAGGTCACTCATGGGCTCTATCTGCTCGTGTTCTTGCTTAAAAAAGACATTAGTAGAATGCAGGCTAGTCGATTAGTGACACCGGTGTGCAGACTTACACGTGAACAGTGAGGTTGGGGCTTCGCGCATACAGCATCAACGGTGAGAAGAAGTACCCGTGTCAACATATCGACCCTGTGACAAAGGCATAATTAGGAAGGACTTAAATAGCACAATTGCGTGGCGCTACACACTGCCTCTTTGCACAGGCCCCCGTACTTTATCGTTTCTAGTTTAAGCACCGAAGTGAAATATAGTACTTAGCATAAGATGCGTCGTGTAAACAGCTAGAATCGAAAACATCAAATTGGCAAAGGAGTCATTTCTTTGAAATACGCTTGTACAGTCATCATAATTTAAAAAAAAGTAAGCAGGGGTTTTGTTGAAGCAAGCAATATGAAGTGGTTGGGAAATAGTCGTTAGTTGGGTTACAGCGATAAACCCCAAGCTTACGCATCTTCATCTTATTTGTCGTGATGGCCTCGTAGCTTGTGAAGGCGAAGCTTGACCCGTTCCTTAAGGCTTGCTTCATCGCTTTTCTTTTGCTTTTCTCTAATTGAGAAAACAAAGAGAGTCTGACCATTTGCCCTTTAAATTGGGTGTCTCATATCATGACTTTAGGGTTTAATAATATGTTGTGAATCATGTCTAATCAACCCCTTAATTCGATCGCTCCACCTCCGACACAGGGTTCACCTTTTTCGCAGCATGGCGCCAGCCGCGCGGATCCTAAACTCCTCCTCATTCACAAGGCTACCTATCTTGCATTGTCCTCACACCTAGGTCTCGATGTTAGCACATGTATGACTCACACATCCGAAGTATAAATACACACGCGCAATTCCCACACAACCACACCAGTTATAGTTGAGCTCTGAAGTAAACGATTGTGTCCCGTCCTCTCCGGTATTTTTCTTCATCGCGGGTATCAGGCAAGCGTAATCGGGCCAGGGTTAATTCCGTGGCCCCGGCGTGGTTCAAGACTACATGCTGGGGCCCACAACAAATACTTCCATTGAGAACGCGTACCAGCAACATTGACCACCTCCACATTTACCTCCCTCTGTCCACAACCAGACAGTGCCTACATTCTCGATGTGTGTCTGCAAGCATTCGATAAATGCGCTCACTCCATCTCCACACAAGCATCCTCACGTTCACTTCTGCGACTCAGTTTCATGGGTAAAATGCTAAATTAGGGTGCTGTGTTGTTGCATGCAAATGGCATTAGTTTAGTTAGCAATCGAAGGATCCCATTGCACCATTTTGGTTCTGTTCCCAAACAGTTGCACTCGAACACGATATTTGCCTCCCTCATGCCTTCTGACGCCACGTCTTCCTTTTTAGAGAATGCCGAATCCAAATTCAACAAATACAGAGCAAAAGGCGTGAACGCATCAAAGTTACGACCCATGCCACCATCGAAGCCCCCTGGTCTCCAAGAGCCATATGCAGAAAATACGTCCTTAAGTTTTCGCAAGCAATACATTGGTACAGAAACGGAGTTTTTCAATAAATAAATTTTAGGAGCTGGATAATTTAATACGTTTTCCACTTGATTTACTTTTGCTCCCAAGATCTGTCTATGCTAAATCTCACTTGTACATAGCACCCTTAGCGAGTCCAGTCCTTGTACATTGTCTTGCTTTTAAATAAGCGTCATTAGTCTGCTATAAATCTTCCTGTAGCATAACGAGACACAAGTCGTCAGTGTGCTTATTTACATTGCTAGGGTGCATGGCCATCGACAGTAGATTTAAAATTCAACCCCGATTCACATCAACTTACGATTTACCAATTGAGTTAACCGAAATAGCAGTGAAGGTTTGGCAAATTCCGCCTGGCATAAATTCAGCGTCAGAATGTGAAAGTCAAACTCACGTAGGAACTTTTGTTGTAGTGGCTTGATTTTTGGTTGATTGTGATGCATCGACACTCTTTTGACAACTCTTGTCTTTACGTTGGACCGGTGGCGTGTTGGGTGTACTTGGCGATTGGCTAATTGAAAAAAATCAGTGCAGATCCTGTTAGCTGAGGTTTTAGCAGATAACAGTTTTCTTGGTGGTCTTTATACCTGCATCAACATTAGTCCATCCATGCATCACAAAACTCGTAAGAAGGGAAGTGGGATGTTCAACAAACGAGCCCCAATGTACAGGGACATTACAACGAAACAGTGGGTCACTCACATAAGTGATGAATTCAATACAAGTGGTGGCAAGACGGGCCGTTTCGGCTAGAGGCTTGCAAATAATCTTTTTTTAAATTCACAAAGAACTGCATAGCTTAGCATTTCCCTAATGTGTTTCCGTGCCCCTTCAGTGTAATTGGATGCCCTCTTAACATGGCTCATTTGTACAATGATTGCATTGTTCTTTGTGGGATCACTAATGGACAAACCCGGCAATGAGTGGGTTCGCCTGGCACGACCAATGAAGTAAAAATGCTCTGAGTTGATTGGCGCGTGCAGTACATAAGTGATTGTGTTGGCCTACAGTTACTCTCGTTTCGTAATTGATGACTGACAAGCTAACCGCCTCCATACCCATTTCAGTCTGGCTTTCAAAATGGACCCAGCGAACACATCGTCTTCTGAAACAAACTAAATCGCACTCCCACCTTCTGGATTCTACAGGGATACCTTGAAACCATCCAAGCAAATCCACACACTCTTCAACCTCAATACCTTACAACACTTACGTAGAAGCGCTTTGGATCAGCTTCTACACCATTCTCAACTAACCGGGCACGAATCTGTAAAACGATCTCTCCGTTTCGCTGAATAAATCAAACACAGAATGTCTGACTATCCCGACCAATCTCAGTTCAGATTTTGTTTATTTTAATTACGCATGCACGAAAGCATCTCCTCCTGATCAGATCGAACTGTCAATAGCATGCATGAATATCGCAAAAAATTCACTACACTAAACAATGGCAACAGTTTTTTTGGTTCTGCAGACACTAATCAACTATAACTATCTCAATTTAATTCTGAATTGTCGGTATAATTTTTCACACTTAAGTAGCGATGCAAACCGCTGTCAAAGCAACTATGCATTCTTATCTACTGTCACAAATAGAAAAATGTACACGAGTATAGATGAAAAACCACTTACCTTTGTTCGAAACGAATTTGCTCCAGTATCATTGCCTGGGATTGGGCTTTCACGAGAACAAGC